TTTTGTGTTTGGGAAAAACACCACACTTATCTTTTCATCCGGGTAAAGTCACGTCGCCACACTTGCACATTCGATCACCATCGCTACCATTATATTCAAACAGGGTTCCAGATTTATGCAACACATATACAGTTTACTTATCAAGGGCGATAAAGATATCCATTTTTTTTTTTGTTGAGCTTATAGAAAGCAAAGGGCACACCCCAGAAAGCAATCTAAAACAGGGAAAAAAAACTTCGACATCCTATCAAGTTGATATTATTTATTTATAGTTTCTGAATAGTATACAATAGATATCTTAATAGTTTATTGTCAATAGTCCCTAAAGAGGATTGCCACAGTTTTGTGGTTGTTTTTCAATAGGTTTAGATTGTTCCTCGATAATTATGCGGAAACCCCTAATTGTAGTTGCGTTTTTTTCCGCACTACACAACATTTCCTTCACGTTCTTCGTCACCTAATAAGACCCCATCGACAGCATTACGATAGTTGGCTATCGATAGTTTCTCGATATTCGGCTATAAACAATTTCACGATAGTCGACTATTGATAGTATGTTATCGAGTTTCGTGATAGTCGACTATCGATAGTTTTACAATAGGCGACTATCGACAGCAAATTTTAATAGTTTTTTTTCACTATTGATAGTTAAATTTGGCTTCCACTATCGATAGTATCGATAGTACTATCAATAGTTTTGCATTTTTTTCTTAATGTGCATTCTTAATGTATCCATAGGCGGTCATTTATCTTAATGTGTGTTCTGACTTCAATTTGTCACAACTTGATAGCCAGCCAACGCGTGTAACACCTACTACACCTTCACTACTTGACCTGATACTTACATCCTTTCCAGACATCACGACCAGTGACTCCCGTGCCAGGTTTGGGTGATCGAGCATATAGGAACGTGAAACAAAGAAGATACCACAACAAAGGAGATTTTGAAGCTATTATCCGTGATCTATCTTCATTTCTTGATGAATTTTTGATAGCATAGAAAAAAAATAGTTGAAGATTTGTGGAATTCATTTAAATCTACAGTTACGCGTTTGATTAATATATTCCCCTTAGAACTGTTTTTCGTACTTCAAATGCTCCATGGTACCACATATATCTCAAACCCTCCTCTAAAGGGAAATGTAAGCTTTTTTGTACGGCCAAAAAGTCCTCTAATAACGATCGGCGGTCAGCGTATACCGCTGCAGCTGAAGCCTATGCAGGTGCCTTGAAAGCAGCTTAAACTCAACTCTCCCGTCCCATCATATTACTGGCAACTAACCCTAAACGCTTCTGGAATACTGTAAAGTGCAGCAATAACAATTCATTCTATCCCTTGCCGACCAATCGGGTAACCCTGTTCCAAACCACCTTCGCGCCTTATTACTGAACGATACTTTCACTCGTTCATTTACTAATTCATTAGTCAGCAACTGTCCTTTGTTCCCCGAAGCGAATTTTTCCCCCCTGAACCCAATCCTTCTTGACCCTGCTGGAATTAGAGCAATCATAAGTAAGCTAAAGCGATCATCGTCTTGTGGCATTGATGATATTAATTCGAAGTTTTTGCAAAACACAAGTGGATATAGCTCTATAACCTTGAATTGTATTTTCTTTAAGTCTATTAGCAATGGTTGTTCACGTAAAGAGTAGAAAACAGGCAAAGCTGTTCCCCTTTGTAAGTCTGGCGACAGTCATAACCCCTTGTAAAATTTTCGAACATGTCATCTTCATTTTTGGTATCCAATCAATTTTTTCACCACTCTCAGCATGGTTTCCGCAAATCTTTCTCCTGCGAAACGCAACTAGACTTTTATTTACTAACGACTTGCACACATTCAGGCCATGTAATCGACTGCATATTTTTGGACCCCGCAAAAGCTTTCGATAAGGTTACCCATCAGCTTCTTACACTAAAACTGCGGCGCCTAAACATTGACTATTCGATTCTTCAGTGGATTCAAGATTTTCTTTCTAATCGCTCGCAAGACGTAACTGTTAACGAATCTTATTCACCTGAGGTACCCGTCGGTTCGGGTGCACCCCACGGCTTTGTTGTGGGTCTATTACTTTTTTTTTTATTTACATTAACGACTTACCTACTTGCATACCTTCAAACCTTTGTCTTTTTGCTGATGACTGCGTTGCCTACCGTAAAATAACCGATGTTTTTTTTTTACATTCTAACTCTTCAAGCTGACCTTAATAACATCACTGCTTGGTGTACCCTTTGGTATATGGATCTGAGTGTTCTAAAATGCAAGTCAGTGAGAGTTTCACGCAGCCAATGACCTTGTCCGAATTATTTTCTCAACGATTCCTCGCTTGATTGCGCACTGACATATAAATATCTTGGCGTTCATATAACCTATAACCTCTCATGGCAACATCCATTAACTGTAACAACTAAAGCCAATCGTATGCTCGGGTATATAAAAAGAAAGTTCTTTCTAGCGCCGTCATCACTAAAAAAAAAAAACAGTTGTATGTTACATATGTTCGCCTCGAACCTTGAATATGATTCATCCATTTGGGATCCCGGCCACGTCACACTAATATATAACTTGGAAGCTCTGCAGAATCTCTCCGTCCGCTTTATTCTTTCAAATTATCAGCGCACTGTCAGCGTAACTAACATGAAGTCATCTCTTAATCTTCCTCCTCTCTCCACTCGCGGAAAATTATTTCGCCTCTGTCTCTTTTATAAGATTTATCATCATAATCAATTGCTGAGATCACGCTTGATAAAACCTGCTTTCTTTACTTCACGGCGTCTCGACCATTGCCATAAAGTAGGCTGTACCTTATCAAAACACAGTAACCTACTCATATTCTTTCATTCCAGAAACCAGCCTTAAATGGAACCGCTTGCCTGCCTCTTTAGTAAGCATCACGGACGGTGATCGCTTTCGCGAAGTTCTTAGTAATGTTGTATGATATTTTTAATATCAAAATCCAATGCTCCTTTCATGTATAATATTTTATGTTGATTATAGTTACTTGTCTTTATTCCTATATATTGTTCTTGAAAGGCCCTTCCCCTCTGTAATGCTTCGGCCCTGATGGTAAAATAAATAAATAAATAAATAAATAAATAAACAAATAAATTACTACCCTGCACTTCTTCGTTTACTGTATTCCCATGCGCCCTCAGTGCCAATCTGTTCGCGCTCCTCTGCCGGGTCTCTAAAATCGACTGGAACTCAGATTTCATGCATATTTCCGCATTGCCAAACGACAACCCCGGCACCATGACTCCTTTCCATATTCCCCTAACGACTTTATATCTACTGTAATTTTATGTTTCATAATTGCCATATGCTTTATAATTGCTGCATTCATATGCTTCACAATTGCTGCATTCCTAGGCTTCATAATTGCTGCATTCCTATATAATTGTTGCATTTCCATGCTTCATAATTGCAGTGCCCTAAGCTTCATATTTGGTGCATTACCTTTTTCTTTCTTTAGCATATCTTTTTCTGTCCTTCTAAGTATTATTTTCTTTCATTCGGCGATACTCCTAGGTATTTATACTTCTCTGGGAAGTTTGACTTGTGGACAGTATTGCCCGACTTCTTCGCACATTATTTAAAATATTATTTGGAAACAAGTAATTCATAAAGAAGTTTATTTTATATTTTTTAAAATGATTACCAATCTTTAGAGAGTATAGAAGTAAATACTTGTACTTTTAATGCTTTCATTTGTTCGTTGACGTCAACGAATGCTGCACTTAACCTCCGCCAAGTGGCGTCAGCTCGTTTTTAAATTTTCGCGCATGCGCACAAAAGTCGAACTTCTGACGAAGCTTTGTCGCACTTCGTGTTAGAAGTTCGAAAAAGTCGAACCTTTTCAAACTCGAACCTCTGCCTGTTCGCGACATCTCTAGTCACTTATGAAGCATGGGATAACTCTCAGCTGCTGGGAGAAGCAAGCGATCGCCCCCCCCCCCCCCCCCCCCCCTTCTAGTCCATTATTGTTCGATATTTAAAAGAAAATAGCCCAAACGGAACAAGGACAAAGAGCCACACATACTACAGGACTGGCGCTGTCATATGTGTCCATGTCCTGTCGCATGTGTGTCTCTTCGTCCTTGCTCAGCTTGCGCCATTTTGTTAAGGTCAAGTATGAACCGAGCCCAATCAGGGCGTGCTATCTCTTGTCCTGGCGGCGAGCTGAGGCGGTAAACTCTCTGGGTAAACTATGCTCGTTTTTGTCTGTTTTTAGTTTTTTTTTTTAGATTGCTCCTGCACGAAGAGAAAAGCTAACGTGCATTTCGCAGGTTATGAACATCGACGAACAATTCTGAGCGGTATTCACTGAAGATACGAAAATTATTCCATCACCCCTTAGATGGCGCCGACCGTAAGCCTTTTTCTGGAACGGGCTGTGGACCATTCCAATGCTTGTGCAAGAAATAACAGGTCGAGAGTGTGACGAAGACAGTTCAGTAGCTCAAACCTGCCACCTCGTCAAGCCGACGAGCCAACATCCGGACTGTCTCACCGTGACGACTTGGCAAACGGCGAAGGCTACGGTCCCATTGAGCCAATCAGCACGTCGGGAGGAGACGCGTGACCATGCGTCATCTCATTTGTTGCGCACAGTGTGGCCACAGCCGCGTGAGAGACAGAGGAAAGCCGCTTTTGAAGGAATTTTGAGTGACGGGGTAATCTCCCAAGGGGGGAACTCTCCTCTTACCCGAGGATCTGGGTAAGAAGAGAGTTCCTTTTTTCCCCTCTCTTCCTTCTTCTGGGGTTACGTTCTAGCCCCTGTACCTTCGGTAAGGATTGTCACGTGCTTCTCCTCCACCGCTCTGATTGGCTCGAAGGGACCGCAGTGTTCGCTCTTTACCAAGTTATGGTGAAACGAAGTATATACCAGGAGGTTCTTTGTGGAAGCATGCATTGCACATGGAGTAACTTAAAAATGTTTATTATGTCTGGCGGCCATCTCTTTCGATGTGTTTACGTGCGGGACCTTCAGGGGGCAACGGTCTAGGTGAGGGACCTATTGAGCGTGGCCAGCAGCACTTTCCAGGCGGCCGCGTTGAAAGGGCAGCGGTCCCCCTTGTTGAAGGAGTCGCAGTCGCCCCCGGCCTCGCCCACCTGCCTGGCGCCGCGGAGGCCCTTGCTGAGCAAGACTTCGTCCATGAAGGTCAAGCTGCGGATGGATGGAAAACGTATGGATTTCCACGTATCGTGCACAATGATGTTGTGGTTAGGGAGTTTGGGGGGTGTCATGGGGAAAAACCGGGACAAGCCCACAGTGGCGTCGGAAAACAAAAGAATTCCGTGTTTTAAGAAAGAAAAAAAAAAAAAACTTCGAAAACACTTGCCGGTAAAATTTTTGTCAATTCGGATTTATCCGAAAAAAAGAAAACTGAGAATTTTGAGGTCACGGTGGCAAAATGAGAAAGGCAGTAAAAACACGATGGACGGAATTTTGAATAAATTACGTGAGAATTGTGGTCCTGAAAAGAGGCTGCTTCATTTTCATTTTAAATAACGAACTATTGACAAAAGAGCGTTATTCGCGTTATGGTAATAAAACCCGAGAGTCAGGAACACAGAAGGGACGAACACAACACAACGCTTATTTTTATCAAGGTTCGTTCACAAAAAAAGGTCATCGTACTTCTTGGGTAACTTTAAAAGTTAAATGCAACTCACTTCAGCTCTTTAAGAAAACCTTCTGCAGCTCTGATAAGACACACAACGTTGTCATAAAAATATAACCGTTTTTGTCATTTCTGCGACCATACATGTGCTTGCTTTAAAAAAATGCGTTTCTTTGTTTTTGTTTTTATACTACGTTTTATTTTACGCGATGGGCCGCAACTAGGTATGCTGCGTACCTCCCGAAGTTCGAGTTAGAAAGGTTCCAAATTTTCAAGCCTCATTAAGGTTTGAATTTGGAAAGTTTGCAACTTTAGAACCCTCTGAGGTTCGAATTCAAATAATTCGAAATTTTTAAGGTTTCCGAAAGCTCGACTTTGAAGGTTTCGAGTATTTTGACGGATCGTTCCAAAAATTCGATATTTCGAATTTTTTCAAGGTAGAAGGTCGAAAAGTTCGAAAGTTTTGATTTTAAGTTCCAAGTTTGAATTTCACGGATGGAGATCGAATTCCGCCGTTTCAAACTAGATTTTCATAAATTCATCTTACCAACTTAGAATATACTCCTTCCTTCTCAGTGCTGCGGAACGGAGTGTCATTTGTCGTAACTTATACAACAAGCGTTGAACTGGTTGGGGTTCATCGAGAAGTCCTGAGGCGGTCGAAGTGAACGTACTTCCTGCTCCTGCATATTTAGTTGCCTTATGCCAGCATTGCACTTAGGCGACGTCTGATAAGATTGCTACTAGTTCGCAAATAAGTGGGAATCCTATTTATTTGCAAACTAGTAGAAATCTGATCAGACGCCGCCTGAATGCAATGCTGGCATAAGACAACTAAATATGCAGGAGTCAGGACAGCACATTCACATGAAGGCATCCAGGCTTCCCGAAAATTTTTAATTGCTCTGGCGTTTTTTTTTTTTTCTTCTTTTCTTGGCCGGATGACCCGTGGCATGGAGAAAACACTGAACACGGCACAGCACCCGGCACAAGTCAAGGTTGAGGAAAATGCAACCAGACTAAATTATGGGACCACCCGGCCTAATACAGCTGATCAGGCCAAGTCCGGTTGTTATCAGGCTAACCATATTGCCACTGCCTGGAGGCTTGCTTCTTCGATGAATGGAGATATTGGCCGCTCTAAAATGCAGCCGGTCACAAATCATAATAAGGTAAGCGCCGATTCAGCGTTCGCTGTAGCGCATCGGCGTCGCCGTTTCTGCGTACGTCTTTCCTTGACACGAGGAAATCGAGGGACTTGCGTTCAAAAACAAATAAAGCTATGAAGGATCGGTTGAATTTCAAGCCTGCAGATCAGGGATATGTGGGCCCACATGGTTACCTCGGTGCAACTGCGGAGTTGTGCGCGGGAGAGGCTCTGTGCGGAAGTCGACAGGCCACCCCAAAGGCCACCTTGGGGTGGCCTTGGGATGCAAATTGGCCACCCGAAGGTGACCTAGGAATGCGTTCAGCGCTTTACAAGCGCGTCATTCGCGGCACGATCAACTAAGTAAGACTCTGAGTGCTATGTCCACAATTCACACACACTGACATCATCTGTTATTTATATTTGTTGAATAGAAACTATGGGGTTGAACTTGGCTCGAACTTTGTCGAACTTTTGTTCAGAAGTGAGAAGTTCGTCGAACTCTCGAACTCAGCAGGTTCGAAAGTTAAAAAAATTGCCGAATTTCTTAGCGTAATTAAAAAAAAAAAAAAAAAAAAGTCAAATCACCTTAGCGCGAAAAATCGGAAGTTCGAAAACAATCAAATTTCGCAGCGCCAAAATATCTAAAGTTCGAAAATCGTCCACATTTTTTATGTAATAAATGCAACGTTGCGAAACTTTGCGAATCTTTTCAACCCCTTGGTTCGAGCTTCGAACCTCAGGTTCGTAAAAAGTTTTCGGCATCTTTAGCCGCAACAGAAAATAATCCAAGCCAGCACTGTGAACGTATCATTTGAAAGCAGCCAGAGTGGGGGAAGTTCCCCCTCAATTCCTCCTTTCCATTCAAGAAGAGGGAGACCCTCCCTTTTTCTGCAGGGAGTATCAGACAGACGCGCTCCTGTGGGGAGAGGAGAGTGCGAGAGGGAATGGAGAGAAGGACATCAGGATCGGTGTTCTGCCCGGCAGAAGACGATTCTGTAGGTCAACACCTGGCTGCGCCCTCGTAAAGGTAACGTGACACTCACACGTCATTGGATAGTCTTTGATGTCTCGTCGCGTCCTTTGTGGTTCATCGTAAGGTGATCTCTCACCTGAGCATGCTGTCGAAGACCTCGATGGGTCCGGCCTGCCGCCGCTCCTTCTTGGCGCTGCTCTGTTCCGCCGCCGCCGCTCCCCCGCCAAGACGCCCGACCGAGCACATGGCCACCTTGAGACAGGCGTCGCTGTCCACGTTGTAGCGGCGCAGGATGCTGTCGAACTGCGCCATGATGCTGTCCTCCGTACGATTGCTGAACGCTGGACACAAAATGGCAAAGAAAGAAGAAGAAAACGCTACAGGTTAAGTAGCGCAATGCATCGACTTACGTCATGTAGTGCAAGTCGCCGCCCCAATGGTTTTTGAAGATTCATTCGGAGCGTCATGCTCAGTATTTTACAACGTTGCAGATTTCGCATTATGTCCGCCAATGAGCCTGCGGGCCTGTTTCGGGATCGACGTACCGTAAGATCCCGAACGAACGCCCACCCCCCAAAGATCACCCACCTCACATCTTTCCTTTCATCAAACATATTTTATGTAGTCGCAGATAATACTTATTGCAAAGAAAAACACTAATGCAGGGCTCAAGCATAAAACATGATCGAGACATTGAAATCGCTCAGATTTACATAAGGACCTTTCAAAAATCGCCTTCTGCGCGTTGCCATCTTTGTTGCTGGGCTGTGGAACGCCTTCTGAACATGCGATGTAGCTCTGTTGCGTGGTATATCAGACGCTGCGCATGCGTCCACTGCTCAGCGACTCAGTATTTTTCGCCCGGGCGATGAGCGCTGGAAAAGTCTATACGCCTTTCGACTTCAGCCGGTGAACAAAACAAGGCCACCAAGGATGGACTGGGAAATCAACAAAAACGGTCGTTATTTGTAATATGTGCTGACGCCTTCCTAGTGCCGTGCATTGAGTCTATATATGGGAGATTTCATTTCAAATCGTGCAAGAAAAAAAAAAATCATGTCTCAAAAGACAAAAAAAAAAAAAAAAATAGGCTGGGCAAATTTTTTACGAAATTGAAACCATTTCTGCGTCATAGAACTTCAAATATCGTATTTTCGAATGCACGGATTCATGTACTAACTAGAGCCTCTAAATGAGCTACGCATAGAGTATCGGCACTCCTAGAGTCACTAAATGAGCTGCGCTTATAGTATCAGCACTCTGTTTGCCGACATTATTGTGGGCGTCGCCATTTTGGTACTTGCTCTGAGCAGACGCAACTGCCGATCGACATGATTCAAAAGTGTGACTTCCTCAGCATTATATTCGGTGTTAGGAAGCTGAAGTCATATTGCTTTTATCTGTCGCGATCTGTTTAAACATTTGTGGAGGACGGAAAAGCGTTTCCTGTGATTTCAGCTAAACCTTCTGATAACTGGCTACCATAATTTTAAGCTAATATGGGCGAGAGTCGTTACTCTGAAGCGTAGCTTGTTTAGTGGCACAGGGCACTCCATTCCCCGGTCTCCTAGTGGGCGCTGCCATCGTGGTGATCAGAGGAGGGCAGACGTAAGCTTTAGAGACGGTTGTAGGAACCTCAGGTGGTGTGATGTAGGAATTATGAACAAACACCGGCATGTTCTACTAAAAAGCGTAAAAAGAGTTTTATATAATTAATTGTTTTATTCACATTTGAGTTACTGCAATCTCGTCTGGGAAAATACGTCTCATTCAAATTCAAATATGATACATTTACTACAAAAAAAGTGATACGAATAAAAGCAGATGTTTCCTAGATTAATCCCACCGAATCACTGTTTTAATCATACAAAATCCTGAACATACAGCAAATGTATAACCATCGTTTAACAACAGCTTATAAAAATACGACATGTGGGCGTTGTAGTACAATTCTTCGGTTATCTGAATTAAAACAAAAAGAAAATAATTACCCGTCTAGACATCACCAGCGTTGGCTAATTCCAAAATGCAGGACAAATTATGGTAAACAGAAAATGCGTTATGCTTTACCTTTTTTGTTGAATGAATATTGTGATAAAATATAGATGTCGTGAAAATGTCAAGCAGCAGTATACTTAATTTTTTTTTTTTTAATATTTAGGAATGTATCTTTTACGTGCGCACTGTATTTGTATTGTTTATTTTTGAACTCGTTTTATTTATGTATTCGTTTTACTCCGTCGTAGCTGCTGAGTGCGGATTCCGGAGCTCGTCAAGCTGCATTTCTGCAGCTTTTTTCTCCGGCCTCCCATTCACCACATGTATCTGTGGTGAGAATAAAGTTTGTACTGTATATAGTTTTGCTCTGTCTTTTGCTCTAACATTTCTGAAAAACTGAAAAAAAAAAGTTTCTTGCGATTTTAGATAAAGCTTCAGATAACTGGCAACCATGATATTTAGCACCAAGATGGCTGAAAGTGTAGTTACTCTGAAGTGTAACTTATTTAGTATTTTATTTAGGTAGCCGAGTGGGCTAGCGCACCCCAGCTCGGAGCACGTGGAGCGGAAACTCGCGCTGCAGAACCCAGGATCCTGGGTTCATTCCCCACCCTTGCCTGTTTCATTCTGGATGAGCATCGTACCGGCGAGCGGTCGTGTATCACTACTGCGTGATGTACGTTAAAGACCCCAGGCTAGCGGTTGTACCGCACTGGCTATATTGCTCATCTACAGCTGAGACACCAGACGCCCACTGAGGCAGACTAACTTCCGGCTGTATAAACATACACATAAAATTATTATCTGATGTTATTGGATCTTTTAGACCTTTCCTATGGCTCTCGCACGGAAAACAACAACAGACACTTAGATATGACCTTTTTGAGAAAGTCTATATTAAAATTTGTACTTTTAGAGCTTTCTTTCGTATTCAAATGAGCTTATCGGTGAAACGACTTTATTGAACTAGAACGATATTGTACTTGTTGTATAAAAATTAATTTCATATAAAATATATGATTTAAAATTAAATGTAGCAAAAGTTGTGATCGTCCAAACCCTGTAAGTTATCGTCAAAAGGGTGCTGGATATTTTACAGAAATAAATAAAAGGAAGAACACACTTTCATGGACAGTTAACACTTTAATTGTAGTCTAAAAAGCCACGTAAAAAGGTTATTTGCTGTATTTGTCGCGTACTTCGGGTGCCTGACGAAGATCCCAAATAAGAATTAAAAAGATGACGCAAAACCGGTTTTCACTTCCGTCCTGGTGAAGAATATGGCCAGCATTTATTTTTTTCATAAGATTATAAGACGTCACCCCCTTTTTCAGCACAATTTGAAATGAAATCACCCATGGAGTATATATTTCAGGAAGGACAGAAGGCCATTAAAGCACTCAATAATGATCGCTTTGATACTCGTTCATTGAAGTTACTCTAAATTTTGGTGTAAAATTTGCGTATTTCGTTTTATTTTGTTTTATATCTTCTCCTTTAGCCCTTCCCTCTTTTGTTATTTTTAGTCGCCAGCCCTACTCCCTTTTCCACTTTTCGCGAAGTGGCACACCAGCTCTCAATGAAGGTTAACCTCTTCGTGTTTGTAAATAAACAATCCTTCTTTCGGTCTCTCTATGATTTTAGTGGGGGTGGGCGTTCATTCGGGATTTCAGTGTAGGTTCGGTCCGTGACTAACCATCAATGCGCCTGGAGAGCGTTGCAGGTACGCTGTTGCTGCGGCCGAAGGTCACGTTGACAGCCACGTCGAGGTACGGGTAGGGCCGGAAGCTGCTAGTCACGGTCACACTGGGCCACTCGACTGCCACTAGAAGAGTGGCTCAGAACCAAGGAGCGATCCAGTCACGCGCTAGTTTCCGCTGTCAGGTTTATGAAAACTTCATCCACGACCGGTAACATTCGTGGGAGGTCCCGGACAACCCGCTATAGCAGAAGACTAGTCTTGGAGGACATATCATCCGGTTGAATATACAAAGCTACAACACTAATCTCATACTAAAGCAAGATCCGTGGCAACACAATTAACTATACTCAAAACAACTTCTCCGTTTAGGGACAGCATATGTGTTTCTCAAACGAGAGCCAGTCACTCCAGCAGTCACGGTGTGTGCCGGCGTAGGCAACGTTGTGCGATGTCAAGAAGACATACTGATATCTCTGCAGCGTCATGTTATGCTGATAGTGATGTTATAGCAAGCGCTCGCGCAGCTCTCGCAAGCGCCGTTCCCTTCGAAGAACCGGTTCATTCACGCAGTGCTAACGACTCAAATGGGCCAATCTGTTTGTTTACGAACACATTTGCCCACCTGCACTGACGTCACGTCGCTGCGATGCGGCTGCTGTCGGCACGGGGAATGTGCAGACGCTTCACTTTACGCTAGTCTGGTTTCTGCGCGCGCGCAGTGCCCACTCCCGGTGGAGTTGGTTGGTATCTATAGTGTTGTCGGTGGGCCCACGTGGAATGAGCGTAGACTTAAACCGAAGTTTACGATGCCGTTTGAGAAAGCCTCGCCCACCCACCTGGCTGGAGTCCGACGTAGTTGAGCACACCCGGGAACCAGTAGAAGGCGGCGGCGAAGGTGCTTACGAGCACCGCCAGGGCACCCAGGGCGTTGTAACCCACGTAGTTGCTCAGCGAGGCCAGCGCCGACCGCATGGCGGGCTTCAGCATCCGACCGAGCAGGGGCAGTGCTTTTCGCATCTGCGAGCACAGACGAACAGGCAGGGCCGGCCCTACACCATCAAGCGCCCTGGGCTAACTCCGGCCGTTCCCCCACCTTCGTTCTTATACGTTCCTATCTACAGGGTGTCACGAAAAAAAATGTACAGTTTTTTTTTACTGCAAAAAGAAATTAGGCATCGCCGAACGCTCATTCTCCGCCCAAAGGTAGTGCTAGAGGTCACAACCAGATGCCAAAGCTTCAGCCCGATCCTTAATCAAAAGTTATAAGTGATTTTCTGAAAAGGTCAATGGGAAAATGGCGGCTGACGGAGTTTTAAAATACATGGGGCTCTATGGCGCCAGAAACCGAAAACGGGCAAAAATGGGCTCCATTTTTCCATTGGAATGTTCAGAAAATCACTTGTAACTTGTGAATAAGGCAACGGATCGGGCTGAAACTTTGGCATCTGGTTGTGACATCTAACACTACCTTCGGGCGGAGAATGAGCGTTCAGCAATGCCTAGTTTATTTTTGTGGTAAAAAAAAAAAAAACTGTAAATTTTCTTTTGTGACACCCTGTACTAAGTACGACATCCCGTTGTTAGTATGTGAGTAGTGGCTCAAACCGAGCGTTTTGTCAGACGAGAACCGCATTCCAATAACGAACGGCGATCGAACATATGACGTCGTGTCGGGCGCCATGTTCAAATAAATGAGTGAATGAATGAAAGCTAACAAAAAAAAATGCAAAAGGGGAGCGCGGTGGCACCCCTCTTTTGGTGGCGCTCTGGGCGACCGCCGAGGTCGGCCTGGGCCGGTCCTGCCTACAGGCACCAATGCGCGCAGGCCAAACCAAGAGACAATAGTGTTGTTTAAAACCCGTAAACCCGCAATGACTGTTTAAGCGGCTCATTATTGAATAATGATGGTCAGAAACTTCGTACGTTTCAGCTTTATAAAAAAAAAGTTGCACGCTATAGTTACTGAGAGAGCAACGGCAGGGTGTCTCTTTAGAATGCCCGGCCTCCATCACGCACTCGTTGCCTTCCGCCGTGCTGCGAGTGCACGCTCGAAGCTCACCAACCTCACCAAAGAGTTATCGAATTTAGGAAGCTCGCAATGGAGCCGGGAAACTGAAAGACCTCCTTGGCTGTCTAATCTTGTTAGTTAGGTACCATAAGTGGAGTGTTTGTTTAGTAAAGGAAGAGTCGCACCGCGTTCACACTGGCGGCTGAACCATATTCGCAAAGCGGTACCCCCCCCCCCCCCCCCCCACACACACACACACACACTTTTAGTGCCCAGCTGAACCCCACAGAGCGCAGCACACAGAGCACTGAGAGCAATTCGCCCCCCCCCCCCCTTCCCCCCTTCCTCCCCCAGTGACGACACTGGTGTCTAATAATGGTAAACAAATATCTTTCATGTTACCCTTTCGGAAGTGTAAATATGATTCCATGTTCGAGGTGACCAAAACAAAGTCCACGAGTTGACGAAAATAATTCCTGGAGAAGGGGTTTGCTGTGCTGATGCCTAACCCCTGGTTAGCTCAGTTGGTAGAGGTAGAGCGGTCGCGTGTTCGTACTCGGACCAAACGGATTTTTTCGGTCGCGCACCAGTCACCTAGCTGTGTTTGAGATTTCTGTTTGTCCTTTGTCCCTCTTGTTCCCCTTCTTCAGGGATTATTTTCGTCATTCTTGTCCAGCTCTCTTGCACCTTGGCATTTAATAGCATTATAATCCACGAATTATTCGTGGCTCTCTTACCCATTCAAAACGTCTTTCGAAGAGGATTGCTCAAGCGCGCAAAACGTTCAGAGAATAAAGACTCAATTCACCTGCACCAGAGGGTCTTCTGCAACGAGATCCGTCGAGTCTTCCTTTGCCGCTGCCGCCGCCGATGATAGCACCACGGTCAGCCAGCACAGGCATGCCACCCACAGAAGACTCGTCATACTCATGGTTTTCGGTAATGCTTGCTGCAATCAAAAGGGTCACAATTCAATCAACATGAGCACTATATATAAATGGCGTATAGACACCCCCTGAGGGCTGTTGCGAACCCCCGAAGCGCCTTGCATGACCGGTCTCGCAGATATATTATAACACTCAAGTGCTCGAACGAAGACGTGAGGAGAGCGCCAATCTCTAACCCGTCAGTGCTGCATGGAACGCTGCGAAGATGCCCTGCTGTTAAACAGAAAGAGGGCAGTGCGTTCAGTTAATGCATCGGAGGATTTTGCGACCGAGAGCCAGAGTCACTTTGACCACGCCCCTCGTAGACATACTACATGACCTTGAGCTGGTACATGAAAGGTCGGATACCACAATGTGTCACGCCATAGCTTACCCCGTTCTGAGCTTTTATTATACGACAATCCATCGGGCATGCCATGTATAGATAAATATTACACTTAAAATGGGCACCTGTCTTTAGAACAGTGATGGCGTCGGCCGAATGTAAATTTACCAATTTCTTAAAATCACCTTATTGCGTTCTGTCGCCCTCTCCCCGTTTTTTCCACTTTGGTTACTTCACGTTCTTCAACCATCTCAAAGGTGTTTAAAAGAAAAAGGTAAACCAGTTCTGCCAAAGAAAAAATCAACCCACATATTTTTGTACATGCACTCCAACAATCAAACACTCACCGATTGGTAATCCCAACTGGAGACGAGCAAAAGAGGGCGGCGTAGGTGACAAGGCAAGATGGGAGCGAGCGAGCCTCACGACAGTCACGCGTTGACTCAAGACTCTTCATAACCGGTCTTCCTTTTAAGGCCGGTCTCCTGGACGGCGGGCAGAACGACAAGAAGGGGGTCCCGCGGTGCCGCCTTCGCGCTCTGGACGTTCTACAAGACCCCGCAGCTGCGTCGTCCCCCTTCGGGCCCTACCGACGCGACGTCTTTGTCTTTTTCATGGGGTCCCCCCAAGAAAGGGGTCGACTGCGTTATCGGGGAAGGGAGAACAGGGACCCGTGACAGGTACGTTCTTCACTTACCTGGACCGTCTCGAAGATAGTCCGTGTCCGTCTTGAAAGCAGTCCTACGTGCCGCTAGGGTCACAACAACAGTAGGGGTTGTTTAAGTGCTCCTTCCTATTTTTTTTTTCTTCTTTATGATTTCCAAGCTGGACCTGCCCCTTCCCCAAATGCACGAGCAAAGAAGATGGATTGATTAGGGAAGGACTAAAAGGGTCAAAAGGACACGTCGCTTCACGTCACTGGACACCGTATACACGCATTGAGGAGGGGACTGGGTAAGTGGGGCTGCCGAACTTTCCACACACATTCCTTGGCAAAAAAGTGACTTCTTTCTCAAACGTACGGCAGGTCTGCCCCCTTAGTAAGACGTGCGCTATAGCACTAAAGTTAGTAAGCGGCAAAATAAAACGCAAAACAGAAAGAAAGAAAGAAAGAAAAACGCGCTACCAGCGTTCGTTCGCTACTTCAGCATCTTCTGATGATGATGCAATTTTTGCCCGATTTAATGTCGTGAGACTGACACACCTATATTACTACAGCGTTCTAGAATCTTATAAAACTGCACAATAAATAAACATAGTTTTTTTTCTACAAACAGCAAATTTAAATAAAAAATAGTAGCGTTTATAACACACGGCGAAGTGGAGTGTACCCACAACCCCGGACAAACTATGAACTGACATAGATTACATACATATTGCCATTTTTTTTTTAACAAGCTGAATGCCAAAATAGATTTTAGCCATAGCTTATTATTTGAAGCTTTAATGATGATACTGTTGACGTTGTGAACTTCAGGCTTTGTGTCTTATGTGCGCAGTGTCAACTGATGTTATATGTTACATTGGAGTCTTATGAATGTTTTCTTCTTTCGCCCTTCTGAACAAGAATGTTTTCATTTTAGATGTCATTTTGTGAACGATGTCCTGTACGCGCGCTGCTCTCTTGGAGCTGGGCTTTTGTCAAACCGCACGTGTTGCAGCTTTTTGCCCCAGCTTTCCTGGTGAAAGAAAAATAAATTGATTGATTGATTGATTGATGCTGTCCACCTCGAGGAGGTTACGCCGAAGTGGTGCCGTTGGCTTTGGGAAGACGCACGCGCAAATGCTCCTCTCTTCAACAAGAAAACAAAAAAACAACAAAACAAAAAAAACAGGTTGTGCTTATGCGTAGTGTCAACCATTCCATTCCTGCGGGCGAGTACAGTTCTTCGTAAACAATGAGTTGGTGGGACATCCGTGCATTTATGTTAGACCAAAGAAAGGTGTCAAGGTTTCGCCATAATTAAAAATCAATGCGAAGATTATTTTGTTGACTACACTATGTAGACCTGTACACTTCACCCTGTTGCGCTGGGCATCTCGTTAAGGGACTATCACATTTTAAATAAAACTGGGTTTTTCTTTTTTTGTTGTCCATTTTTTTACGCTTCCTTAAAGATAGTCAGAATGACTCCCCCCGCATCCAGGAAGTCCACAGAACGATCATTACATTTCGAAACACCTTTCGGATTTTGGCCGGACCAGAAAGAGGTTCTGCAGCAATCCTCACGGCAGTGGTCGGAAACCTGTTGCTGCAGCGGTCCAAATAGTCGCAAATCGGAGAGAGAGCGAACCGCTCGAAGAAACGGAGATTTATAAAAATAGAAGATAAGAAAACTGTCATATACTCGAATGTGATATGCTCTTGATTCAAGGATTCCAGTAAGGTTTTGGGTTTTCAATGTTGCCTGACAAGAGGCAAACATTCACATTGAAACACTAAACCGAGAGTCGCAAAACATTTTAGAGGAGCTCATCTGTCATTCGCAAGAACCACGTTTGACTCCTCAGTCTTCATATTGTAGAGGTATGTTCGCAGACATATATATATATATATATATATATACAACACGGGCACTTCACACCATCGTACGTGGTCTCCGAGAAGGATATGAACGAATATGTGCAGATGAATGAACCATACTTAATCCAATGAATCAAAGAATCCAAGTTTCCAGGAACCCGCCGAAAGCCAAAAATCCTGGCTCCGCCAATTTTTGGCTTTCGGCGGGTTCCTGGAAACTTTGATTATTTATTTATTTATTTATTTATTTATTTTACCCTCAGGGCACATGGCATTACAGAGGGGAGTGGGAACAATAGTAAACATAATAAACAATTGGAACAAAATATACAATACTTAAGGAACAGGGAACATGAAATTGGCAATAGATGTACAAAAAAGTGCGTGATCATTAATTGATGTGAGCGATGCAAGTAAGCGATTCCAGTCTTTGGAAGTCCTGGGAATAAAAGAGTCATAATAAACGCTAGAGTGGCAAAATGGGACACCGACTTTGTGACGATGATCAAGGCGTGCTGAAACAAAGTAGGGGGGGGGGGGGATGATTAGTTGGGATTTAAGCTGAGGAATATGGTGATAGATTTTATGAAAAAGACAAATACGAAAGACTGTGCGACGATGTGCGAGGCTTGGGAGTAACAAATTATCTTTCATTGATGTAACGCTTGCGGTGCGGTTATAATTAGCCATTATGAAACGTGCAGCTCTGTTCTGAATACCTTCAAGTGAATCAACGATAAAGAGTAGAGGGATCCCAGATGGAAGCTGCATACTCTAGCTTGGACCTAACTAGTGTTTTATAAAGAAATAGTTTTAATGATGACGGGGCGAGATAAAAGTTACGTTTGAGGAAACCAAGAATTCGATTGGCGTTGTTAGTCACATAGTTAATATGAAGTTTCCAGGAAAGGTCAGCACTTAAAATCACACCCAGATACTTGTATGAGTTTACAAGTTCTAGGGGTGTGTTATTAATACTATAAGCAAAATTGAAGTTGGCTTTACGTGTTATGCGCATTATTTTACATTTATTAATATTGAGCTCCATTGACCAGAGTTCACATTTTTGATTCACACAGATTCTTTGATTCATTGGATTAAGTACGGTTCATTCATCTGCACATATTCGTTCATATATATATATATATAAACTGAGAAGAAAAAAACCCTTAGTGAAAAACAGCAACAACGGACGATTTAATCTTCGACGTTTCGGCCGGAGTCCGGCTTCCTGACGAAGGCCGGACTCCGGCCGAAACGTCGAAGATTAAATCGTCCGTTGTTGCTGTTTTTCACTAAGGTTTTTTTTCTTCTCAATTTTATACCCACGCCTTCGGCCTCCCGCCACCATGCCCGTTATATATATATATATATATATATATGTTTTCAAGAAAAGCCATGAAAGCTACACTTATCCGGCTTATGCGAGTGAGCTATGCGCCCAGGGGGACATTATGTGGATGGCTAATCTTTGCGATAAGTCGGATAAGTCTTTTAATTAGTGAAAATATACATATGGTTTCAGTTAGAAACTTGCTGAACGTCGTCCAAAACCCCTAAATCACTAACCTGTAACAAGTTTCTAATTGGAACCATATGTCTATTTTGACTAATGAAAAAGTTAGTGAATTTTAATTAATTCGCCGACTTATCGCAAAGATTAGCCACCCACATAATGTCCCGCTGGGCGTATAACTCACTGGCACAAACCGCATACATGTAGCTTTCATGGCTTTTTTTAAAACAAATCTGCAACAATAAAAAAACACCCGATATATATATATATATATATATATGTACGAGCTGTAGCGAAGACTTCGATCAAGGCCGCTGCAAGATTTCGTAGATTTGAAAAGTTTTAAGTCAGCGGAGCCAGCGGAAAATTTAACGAAGTCGTTCGATACTAAAGCACTCTCAAGCTTCCTATTTGGGGATCAGCTGATCAGGGAATACTATCTGGCAAACCTCTTGAACTTGTTCAGAGTTAGTGCGGCCGGTTATACTAAATTTGTAACCAAACATTTATACTAAAAAACAAAAACAAAAATTATTTTTTTTTGGGCGGGGGGGAGAGAGGGGGGGGGGGGGGAGGAGGGGGGTTAGTTTGCCACGTTTTTGAAATGGTTCGTTACCGGGAAGATGGTAGCTCACATAGAACCCCTCATTCCGAAAGCCGAAGGCTTTGCCAGTTCTACCGTCGACGAGTGTAGGCAGTCGGCTATCGGGGAACTATAAATTCCAGAGGAGGAAAAAAGTGTGGGTAGATAACGCTTCCCTGAAAGATAACGGATCTCCGTTCATTGTAACTCGTCCCCTTCGACCGATGCGGAGATGTCTACGTGCGCGAGGAGCCAGGGCTTTCCCCCGCGGGAAGCGATCGATAAGGTTGGTCGGCTTCGAGTTCAAGGACGCGAAACGGGCGCTGTGGCTTCTCATTTCTGTCCCCGGTTGAACTGTCAACAGCGGCGAGGGTTCCATGGAAACCGAAAGCAAGAAAAAATTACTAAACGAACGTGTCATACATTGATGGTCGGTCACCACTTACGGGCTCTCTCGAAGAGCGCGCATGCTCGCACCTACAACGTGGCAGAGCTTAGGCACACGAAAATGTGTATTAAATTTAGAATGTTTACTCTGTAGCCTGTAGTCCTTCATTTGGCGGTTTTGTATATATATAGAGAGAGAGATAGAGAGAAAATAGTGCCATCCACTTCAGCAACAGGTGTGCGTGATTCGTCTGAATTGCTTTCATTACGTTCTGTACGACGCAGCAGTGTTGCAGCTAAAGTAACTTATTGGCAGACAGATACAACACTAGAATGACTGGCCTTTCAAGTTGTAAAAGAAAAATAAGAATTGCAACTGAAGTTCCCGCGAGCTCCTGCTGTATGCCCTGTTTTTATTTGAATTTAAGTGATTGAGCAATTGACCTCCACGGGTTCATACACCTATGATGGGTGCTGAGCCAATATCCGGACATGAATTCCGACGTTTTGATAGAAGCAACTCCGGCCCACGCGCTTACGTTTAAATGTACCGCGCTTAGTGGTCAGTTAAAGTCGAGAAACAAAGTCTGGCAACAACGCCAGTGTTTGAGCGGTTCGTTTGAATGCTAGTCGAGAGATGGCGCCATGCGTCCGGCAATTCCCCGGAACCGGTAACCCTAGCGGACAATCGACAAAACAGAGTGGCCGACAAAGCGTGCGGTACTGGGTACTACGCGTCGTCTGTTTGGACTGTTTTCGCCGGGATTTGTTTGTTTTGGACATGTACGGCGCTTGAATCCTGTTATCCCGCATCTTCCGAGTCCTCGAACTAATCCCCGCACCGAGAAGGGGGTCGGATCGAATCGTCAAGCCGCATCTTCATCTCCGAACCCCAAACCATGGCTACCGCACCGGCGTCGGCGGCAGTCGTGCTGGACCAAGTCGAAGAAGACGCGTCCGCTATGCAGTTCCCGAAGGAGTTTGAGAACGCCGAATGCCTGCTCATTTCCGAGGTGAACATGCTCCTCGAACACCGCAAGCAGCAGAATGAGAGTGCCGAAGAGGAGCAGGAACTCTCCGAGGTGTTCATGAAGACGCTGAGCTACTGCCAGCGGTTCAGCCGCTTCAAGAACCGCGAGACCATCACGGCCGTACGTAACCTGCTCAAACAAAAGAAACTGCACAAGTTCGAGGCCGCCCAACTTGCCAACTTGTGCCCAGACAATCCCGAAGAGGCCAAGGCGCTGATCCCGAGCCTCGAAGGCATGTTCGAGGACGACGATCTCCGGCAGATACTCGACGACATTCAGACCCAGCGGAGCTTCCAGTACTGACGTGATTTCGTTCGTCGCCTGAATGGATGGACTTTTGGTTCGTGAATCGGGTGCTACTTTTCTTGTTTTATAAATCGCTATGTTGGCACGTCAGTACTCAGTGTGCGTCTCGTGTAACTGCTTTTTTTTTTTTTTTTTATTCGTTCTGAGTACTTTCTGAGGCGGTGCGGTGTATTTCCGCCACTGGGTCAATGGTACGGTGAATCGCTTCGAACGCCCTAACGGATTTATGAAGTCGGTCATGGTCTTTATAATCGGACGGCGATGCGGACTGAGAAGATTACGAAACGCGAATAGGTAAAGGAAAGGGAGGGGAAAAAAAAAAATTAGTGGTTCCACAAAAGGTAAGGGCGCAAACGAGCTGGTGGTGGTTAAACATTTCGACAAAAACCCCGAGACTGGGACAAAAAGGGCTGTGTTTGAGAGCTGTGTTTGAGACTTAGTGGTTCCATCGCCATCTTCTTTAGCGGGCGGTAGCATGCGCCACCTAGAGGCATTTTTGGAACTGTCACGATGGATGGTTTACTCGATTTTTCAAATCTGTCTCTCCTACCTCGTCGCCAGCTGATCGGGTGTTTCCGCTATATCAGTTTTTCCTTCTGGTAGGTGAGGCAATACGAAGCCCACTACATGTTGCATTCAATTATATGGGCAGAACATTTTGCGTTCTGGCAAGGAGCCGGGGAGAGCTGCATTTCCAAGTTACAACTCGAGCACAAGGAACCTTTTAGGATGGCACGACGAAACTGACTCGCTGCCGGCTGAAATGAACCTCCCTTTACATTATGCAGGTGGGTCGAGCGAGTTGGCATGATATTTGCATGCACCGGCACCTGTCCCATTGTATTTGCTTGTTCTTCCAGGGATAATAATACTTATTTGCAAGACATAAATATTATTTTGTCCCACGAAATATATTTAATTTGGCCAGCTCTGTAGAAAGACACATCCCAGCTATGCCAATGGCTTTTCACACTGAAGATCTTCAGGGATTTGGAGGACTGGAACAGATGGTGTCATACAGTCCACTGTCTTTGTTTTCTCCCATACACATGTCACATTGCAGTTGTAAGTGGTTTTTTATATGTCTATCTTAAGGATGCATGCATGCTTAGCATTCATTTAGTACTTGTTTTAAAAGTGTTGTATCCTTACCTTAATAAGAGTCCTTTATTGGTTACTAATATCAGAATCCCACTCCTATGCTCATTAGCTCCTTACTCATTGGCAAGAACTCTCATTCAGCTCCACAGATTCCACATATCTGTGTATGGATCAAGCAGCATCTGCAGTCAGAAAGGAACACCACAAAGTTCCCTTTTTTGAGCATGATATTTCAGATACTTTTTCCCCTTCCTACGCTTTAGCAAAAATTCCATAGCCCTTCAAAGAGCAAAAAGTTCATGCATTTCTACAGTACAGTGTGACGAAACCAATTATAAACATTTAAATTCCTTTCATAAGGGCCTTTTCTGTTTTTAATTAATTTTTTTTTTGCGTTTTATCTTTATGAGGCTTGTGTTTATTTTATAGTGTTCGTCTCGAGCAGTGTTAAAACAAGAGCACCATGTGGCTACCATAGAGGGACGATAATGGAGAGAAAATAAAAGTTAAATAATGAAATGTTTAATTTGAGTGAATATACAGCTAACCTACCATTCAGAATATCTACAGCAGTGAATGATTGCTGTGGGACGGCCGCCAAACTGCACTAAAGGGCTTACCTCTATGGCATCCTGCTAAATTTCACTAAAATGTGACGAATTCGTGCCGAAAGTGCTGTGTCTAGCTCTCCTGTTCCACTGCACGGGTGGGTAAAACATTTTTACATACAATATTTCTGTTTCGCGGGCACGATGCTTGCGAGAAAGCGCCGCACATCGCAGAAGGTCACCAGTCCTCTAGTGTAATGGCAGCGAGATCAAGCTTACCAGCTTACCACTGCCCCATTCCTGACAACATAGAGAAAGATTTGGCTTGTGCCTGCTTCCTAAGATATACAAATTCACTTCACTAACAAAACCTTGCCCCCCCTTCCCCCCCCCACCCCCCAAAATAAAGAAGAAAAAACAAAGCTATTTTACCGAAAAATTAGTGATGCATCGCCCAAAGCTCATTCTACGGCCCAAATGTAGCGCTAGCGGTTCCAATCAGATGGTAAAGTTTTACATAATGGAAAAAAACAGCGCGAAGATAGAAAAAGGAAGAGACAAACCAGACAGGACAGAGCGCTGTGTGTCTGGTTTGTCTCTTCCTTTTTCTATCTTCGCGCTGTTTTATTCCATTATGTACAACGATTACCAACTAGCCCAGCTTTCAACCTTGGTAAAGTTTCATAAGGAGCCGTTATCTCATTCACAAGTTGCCTGAGTGATTTTCTTAATATTTTAATGGGGCCCGTTCCTCTCTGTCGTATCTCCGTCGGCCGCCGTTTTCTGACTGAATATTTCGGAAGACCAGCTATAACTTTTTAAAATAAGATCACGCCTATTTCTGAAACTAAAATTAGATCTTGTTCGGTCGACTAGGGCGGAAAATGAGCGTTGGGCAATGCAATTTATTTTTGCAGTAAAAAAAAAGAAAAGGCGTTTTGGGGACCATGCAGTTTTAAGATTCTTTTGTTTCGGGCACACCTGTAGGTTGGAATCTCTTTCCCCGGGACATACCCGAAATTCTCTATAATTAACTAACGCTTCCACCGCTTTTGATTGATAGTAGCTCTGAATCGGTCCGGAAATTCTCACGGGATGGGTCGAGCAGGACCGTTTGCTTTTTTATAACCAATTTTACATTTTTGCTGAATCATTTCTTCGCTGCTCTTCTCTAATGTAGGATTAGTTTCTAGGAAATATAAAAATATAAAAGTCGAGCATAAACCTTCCGAGTATGTTCGAAAAAACAAAAACGAAATTGAAAACTTGTGAGAAGAGAACGCTATTGGGCAAGAGATCGAACTCTAAGTGGCGCTCTGACCCGTTTGTTTCCCCACACCTCGCTGTTCACTCAATACACTGCCTGTGCACATGCCCACAGGCCTTATGGGCATGCCCATGTCATCTTCTACAATAGAGCGCGGTACACAGTGTAATAAAAAAAAAAAATACTAACAATCGACGAAGTCTGCAATCATATTTAAGCGTCTACCTTTTTTGCGGTTTCCACGTTTCTTGGGCTTCGGGCAAGCCAGCGGGCACGGAGAGAGTAACTAAATATCAGTGAGTCATATTTTAACCGCGCGAAGCAGACACCTCCTCCACCGACAGGGGCGACCCGCGGTACCGAAAGCGCGCGATATCTGACGTCTTTGGTCCTGGGCTTACTACTGGTGAGAGCCGCTGAAAGCTTCTTTTTAGTCGAAATACAAAATATAAGTGGCGCGAACCGTTTCAATTATTTATAAAAGTAGTTTTCGTTCAGTATTTTAGACCAGAAAAGAAACAAATGCAGTTTATAAAGTACGGAAACAAGAAATGACCCGTCGACATACCCGCCACCAAGCGGTGGAAAAGGCGGCGCATAGTAGACGACTAGAACGGAGTAGTGGGATCAGTGGGATCAGGCGCCGACACGGAAAGGTCCCGGATGTACGCGGCGGCGCTGCGGTCGTATCGACTAGAGGATCCGACCGGCTCCGAGGGCCTTTGGCGAGCAGCTTTCTCTTGCGGTTCGGCCGTTTTGCGGTATGGCAGCGCGAAGTGGCTCCCTTTCTGAACTGATCTTTACTCCGTGTTTGCTGTCGTTAGTGGCCAATGAAGTGTCACGTCGAATTAGTGTTTAATCGCGCAGCAAATGCAATACGAGCCGTTTTGGCGGCCCGTTTCATACTGCCTATCCAGAACATGCTTTAGTGGCGCCCTCTCGCGCCGTCGACACGGAGTGCGGCAGCCGTGAGCGCTCGCTCAGCTCACTTCCCGGTCCTCTAGTTCACGGCCACTCAAGCAACCGAGGACGTCATGAAGGAAGTTATTTTTTTGCTTGTTTTTGTCATTTTAATTTTCCTATAACTTTTTGAAAATAAAGCGAAATTCGAGAAAAGATAAGTTTCATTAAGTTACTACGTTCAGTGCGCTCAGGTTCGCTGTAAATTAAAAACCAGTAAAAGGTGCTTGCAGTGCCCCTTTAAGCGCCGGATCTATCCCGAAAGCAGTCGTCAGAGAATGTGAGCTTGACCCACTTCGACTTTTGTGGAGAACTGGGCGCCGCGCATGCATTGTTCATGCAGGCTGGAGTGGTAGCAAGAGAGACCCTCCTCCTCCCCCTCACCGGAAAACACGAACTCCAGCCGAAGGCTGACGCCGCGTTCGGTTATGTCGGCCGAGCGCTGAGTCATTGTATATGTTGTCCCCATCCGTGTAGTTCTAAAGTTAACCGTTTGGGGCGTCACGGTCTGTCCTCCTCCCCAATAGCTTCGCTGAAATTGCTTGTCCCACCATAAGTTTATACATGTCCTAAAATTATGTTGATACTTAAAATTACTTTTAAACGTGGCGGCGATCTTCCACAAATCGAACGATAGAATCACCCGAATAATCGTTCATTCTGTACGGTTTACTAGAATCACCCGAATAATCGTCCCTTCTGTACGGTTTAGCGCAGGAAGCAGCGCATCACATTGTACCCTTTTTTTCACAGCGGAGCTGTTAAGGGCTAGTTTCCCCAGGATCGTATCCGTCAGCAAGCAAATGACGACAATAAACTCTGGACAGCTACCGCCATCTATGAGCGACGGCGGCAACCAGACAACCGGCTTTCCGGTCGTCTGTTTACAGCCGTCGCTCATAGATGGCGCAACCTTTCGAGCCTTTCCACTCTGGCTTGCCGACGTGCGGCCGGCCATTACTTCATTCCCAGCACAGTACAGCTTCGCTGGTCTTCCTTCTTCACTAAAATAAAAAGGCTAAATAATTTTTTTTTGTGGACTCTATGGATTATGCGGAGCGCAAGTTCGTCTGCTTCTTGTTCGGGGGTTGCGGTGACGTCAGGACGTCGAGCTCTGATTGGCTTTGATTGGACGGATAGTGGTTAGACCTCTGCTAGCTGCCTCGAGGTCTACCCACTATCCTTCCAATCGGAGCCAATCAGAGATTGGCATC